TAAGAATAATAAGAAGAATAAGAATGAGAATAAACAAACAAACAAAATATTAAACAGCCAACTTTTTCAAAGTTGGGTTTGTATACAGCATGCATCTACTTTTTTTCTGTAATGCAGCAAGTTAGTTTAAACAGATTYAAAATGTACTGTCTGATTTCTTTTTTAAATTTTCTTTTGCTCCACATATTTTTAAAGGAACTGAGAATATGTTTTTAACTGTTTGCAAGATAAGCCTATAAATCGGAGGAGGTTTGTTTTAAGTAGTGGAGGTTGTGACTCACAGTAGCCAGTCCACAGCAACCAAGAGGCTGATGTCCTGAGTGGGCAGCCCCACTGCTGTGAGGATCAGAAGCATGGTCACAAGTCCTGCACTGGGGATACTGGCTGCTCCAACACTGGCCAAGGTGGCTGTCATACTAACAAGGAGACAAATTCAAACCTGAGTACATCGGACCACAATTTAACACTTCCAACATACAGTCATCAAACTGAAAAACGTAGGACTTTTTTTTTTTTTTACATCTTAAGTTATCTGTCCTGAAAAAGTTTTACAGCAAAAAATGTAACATTTCTCACCTGACAGTAACTATCTGGCCCCAGTCGAGCACAATCCCATTCATCTGAGCTATGAAGATGGCAGCCACAGCCTCATAGAGAGCTGTCCCATCCATGTTGATGGTGGCCCCCACAGGAAGGACGAAGCGTGTGACTCTTCTGTCAATGCCCAGGTTGTCCTCTAAGCAACGAAATGTGACAGGCAATGTGCCGGCACTGTGGAGAAAAACAAATAGACAAACTATTCTTTAGTTCTGCCTTGTCCCTTTGCTTGTTTTTGCTTTTGCTTTCAAAGAACCAGACATTCTTGACTTCATTATACCTGGATGCTGTTCCAAGTGCTGTGACCCAAGCCTGGAATATCCCCATAAAGAACGTGAAAGGATTTTTCCTCACTATCACAAAATAGATGAATGGAAGGAAAATGCCTCCGTGAATGATGAGGCCCACTATCACAGTCACCATGTACAACCCCAGCTGCTTCGCTACCATCTCCAAGTCAGCAATAGAGATGATCTTTCCACAGATAAGGCAGGCGATACCAAGAGGAGAATACCTGAAGATAGACATAAATGATGTACTTCTGTTACAAGGAGCAGCTTTATTTACGTTCAATAAAAAATAAAATCTATGCCGTACACAGAACAGAACTGCACTTACCACATAATTGCACTCACAAGCTTCATAATGATCTCATTGAGCACGTTGAAAAAATCCAACATTAGCTTGGCCTTCTCTCCCATTTTCCCCATAATGACTCCAAAAGCCACAAAAAATCCAATCAAACCTGGTAAACACAGAACATTAGTTTAGTATGAATGAGGGACTATATGTTCTGTGAACTATTTTTGCCTTGTGGTGCAGTATTGTTCAAAACAATCAATCTTTGAATAAAACAGTTTAATGTCCATTTCAGTTAGTTTATACATCACATTATGTTTACTTCATCCAGTTTGGAATGATGCAGTTTACTTACTTCAAATTAAATTTACAAATACTAGTATATGTACGTTTTTTTAGTTGTTATACATCTAAAAATTGGAAATAGATTTATTTTTCCAATGAGAGCACAGTCAGCCGTTTGCTGACACGCTGTGGGTTTGCTGTTTTATTTATTTATTTATTTTTATT